CACACACACACACACACACACACACACACACACACGCACACACAGTCAGTGAGAGTCTCCAGTGTGTATTCTGCAGTGTGTGATTGGGTCGTGCCCTACAGAGAAAGCGCAGTCCAGCACGGGCGCCAGGTGTTGGTACTTCATCCTCATGCTGTTGGCGCTGGCGTCGTAGAGCCGCACGGAGCCGTCCCAAGAGGACACCAGCAGGAACTGAGAGGAGGACGGGCTGAACTTCACTGCCGAGACGCTGTCCTCCGGGCCCTGGGCCAGCTTAAACTCATTCGCTCCGGTCATCTGCACGCACACACACACACACACACAGACACATACACAGACACACACACACACACACACAGACACATACACAGACACACACACAATCATTACTACAGACACTCAAGGGCACTCGCTGACCACTACACTACTCTTCAGACCCTCAGTAGAGCTCCATCACCATCATCATCATCACTACTGTGAATAGAGCTGCAGGATCCTGCAATAATGTGATTCTGCCTTGTTTTCTTCTGCAGTGTGAACACAGCTGAGATACTGTGAGTCTGGCGGTGTTCTGGAGTCTTTCAGTATTAAGGCAGAGAAAAGCTTTTCTGACTTCGTTTTGTCTCGTTTCTAGTCCAAATATCAAAATGATTGTGGAGTGTTCACCGTCAGAGGAAATCAGTGAAATGAGGAGTTTGCTGCTTGTTTTAAGGAGATGATCTGTCAGCGTGAAATAATCCTGTTTTCCTAATAATCCTAAACCCTGCAGGGACACCGGACCTCCAGGACCAGGATTGGTGACCCCTGCTATAGCGGATGCGCACACTGCCATATCCATGCTGAAACGATAGATTGAGCAGCCCTACTCTCAACAGACCCTCACTAGTGCACTATTCAGACCATCACTAGCGTTATTCTTGTCACAGACCCTCAGTAGTGTTCTTCTATCATAACACAGACGCTCACTAGTCTACTAATTAAACCCTCAGTAGTGCTCTTATCATATTACAGACCCTTGCTAGAGCACTAATCAGACCATCACCAGCGCTATTTTCTTCACAGACCCTTACTAGTGCTCTTATAACACATACCCTCACTAGTGCACTATTCTTAACACAAACCCTTGCTAGAGCACTAGTCAGATTACACTAGTGCTATTCTCATTACCGACCTTCACTGGTCTACTAATTAGGCCCTCAGTAGAGCTCTTATCATAACAGACCCTCACTAGTGCACTACTCCAGCTGGACCAGAATCCAGCTGCTCCTAGAATGAACACAGGAGAGAAGGAACCAGACACCCTCAGTTAGCATCCGCTCCCCATAACTGGACTCGCTGTAGCCCCGGGAGCTGTGGATCCTGACTCTCGCTGCTCTGATCATCTCTCCCGCGCTGCTCAGAGCTGAAGCAGGCGAGTAAACCTCTCTCAGACACTCGCGATTGGTCTATTATTAATATTAATAACAGTATACTGATATAATGCGCGTTAGCTCTCACCGTGCCGCTGTTCTCTGCTGCTGCTCTGCCGCTCATCTGGGCTCAATTTGATTGGCTGCGTTCACAGCAGAGCTCTGCTCTCATTGGCCCGTTTCAAAACTCCGTCCAACGGTCTCTACTGCTGACTGGTTACGCGCATCAACTTCCTGGCGCGAACGAGCACACGAAACAACAAATCACCGCGAGAAGTGACGTGTTTCCGGCGGCGCATCAGGCGTTTGATCGACAGCTCAGGTATGGATTAAATCTGTATCAGGTTTAGTGAGTTAATATTTCCGTTAACCGGAGAGACCGAGTGGCGGAGAGGAGCAGCCGCGACTCCCCTCCAATAGTATGATCCTGCACAACTGGAGTAGCTGCACTCTCAGGACCGCATTTTTAGGACCGCATTTTTAGGACCCTAGTTTTTTGCGGAAGCGCCACCTACCGGATTGGATGACATAGTGAAACTGCATTTCTAGGACCCGTTTTCAGGCACTTTTTTCCAGAGGTTAAAGTGTAAAACGCCTGCTTTAAATAACAATTTTAAAATGAAACAAATGAATTTACACCTAAAATATAAAAGAATAAATAGAGTTGAGTGCCTTAAAAGTCTTAAATTCCTTGAAAAATACTGTATATTGATGAACCCCATTACATTGAACTAATTGGCTCAGTATTAGGGAAAATAAATTGAAATCAAATGGGATCAGCATTTGCAGTTACTAATTTAATACCAGGTTGTAAAGGTTTTAGAGAGTCAAGACACAAGAATGATTCAAGAATGTACATTTATATAAATATCCACACAGTCTTTCTGTATTAATGCAATTCAACCACAAAAATGACCCCACTGTTTATTCAGTTGCTGCATTCAATTTTTTATTCCTGTGAATGAGAGAGAAGAAGAGAGTTCAAGTATATGTATGTATGTATATGTTGAATATTCAATTCAATTTCAATTAATTTCATCTTTATTTCTAAAGCACTTTTACAATGTAGATTGTGTCAAAGCAGCTTAACATTTATTAAATTCAGTTCAGTTCAGTGTGGTTTAGTTTTCACTGCTGAAAGTCCAAACACTGAAAAGCAAATCCATCGATGCACAGTTCCACAAGTCCTAAACCAAGCAAACCAATGGCGACAGTGGAGGAACAAAACTTTACCAATTGATGAAAGTGAATGAATAAACCTTGAGAGAAACCAGGCTCAGTTGGGCACAACCATTTCTCTTCTGGCCACACTTCACGTGCAGAGCTGCAATCTAAGCGCTGGAGGCTGAAGAACACTGGGCGTCCATCGTGGAGAAGCTGCTGGTGTGAGTAGGGCACCAGCGGGTTTTCAGGCTGGACCACAGGATCAATGTGGGCACTCATCTGTCGCTGGGGTCTTTCATTAATCAGTATCATGCTCTCCACTTCTCCATGACCACCACAGCATCTGCTCATGATACGGTCTGGTCCAGGATTATGGATACATCTAGAAGTCCTCTATGGTGGCATCATCTCTTCACAGGTCACGATCTCTAGAGGCCTCTAGATAAATATCCCCAGGTGGAAATAGGGAACAAGGAAAATAATTAGCGCAGCTGCTGTTCATAGTGTATTTAAACAAGAGATATTAAATATCAAGACAAAAATGAAGTGCTATGAGATAAATTAGCAGTTTTATAAATAAACATGAAACGCACATGATTATTTATAACAAAATGTCTGGTGCATTAAGACAGCAAGAGTGTGTCCTCCAGGTGGTTTGTCAATCCCACTCACCCGCATAGAGCACATGGGGCAGCACAGTGGTTAGCACCGTCGCCTCACAGCAAGAAGGTTGCTGGTTCAAGCCCCGGCTGGGCCAGTGGTCATTTCTGTGTGGAGTTTGCATGTTCTCCCCATGTTCAAGTATATAAGTGTAAATGGGTGTTTCCCAGTACTGGGTTGCGGCTGGAAGGGTATCCACTGTGTAAAACATATGCTGCATAAGTTGGTGGTTCATTCTGCTGTGGCAACCCCTGATAAATAAAGGGACTAAGTCGAAAAGAAAAATGAATGTATATAGATATTCTTGAATATGTAAAATCATGTATATAAACTCAAAAGGTTAATCAATTGCAATTATGCAATTAAATTTAGATTAATATTTAATATAAGTGGTATAATAACAAACATTTGCTTTACAGTGTTAGCTATAATATATATATACACACACACACACATATATATACACACAGATATATATATATATATATATATATATATATATATATATATATATATATATGCACTGTTGTGAGAACCAAACAGGAAACCTTACTGCCAACTCCATATTTTTAGTATATAAGAGCAATACCCACCTATTGAATGGTCTCTCTTCTTTCGTCAGTTGTTTGTAAATCTGTCTGTTAAATTCTTTTACTTCACTGCAATAGAGAACAATCACTGTTGAGTTAACATATATACCAGTAACAAAAAGGCTCTTTGAGCATTGTGCAAAATTAACCATATTCTGACCTGTAATGATAATCTTTACCAGAAAGAAAGACCTGCTCAGCATCATCCAAAGACAAGCTCCTCAAGACACCCAGAGCATGTACGATGTCCTATGAAAAAAATAAAATAAAATCATTTAAATATGGGCTAAAATACCACCACAGAACAGCAAATCATTTTACATGGGTTCATAAATGAGTAGCACCCACCATGCAGTTTATATACTTATTTGGCCAGACATTCCTCTGGAAAATGAACATCACAGATAAGCTGCACTTCATCATAGATATGCTATAAACTCAAGAACACAGCTAGCATTTGTAACTGTATTTATAAACTGCTTATCAATGTCTATTAAATGTAGAGTTAATGCTAAACAAATAAAATATTAATAAATTAACTAGTTATTAAATGCTTAATAAATTATTTATAGTATGCAGATGTTATAAAGTGTAACTCAACAGTTTGCAATAACCTCAATGAAAATATTCCTGTAGTTTGTTTTCTTTTCTTCTTACAATGGGCCTAGGCAATCCAATCATATTGGCCATCACTTCTTATTCGCCAGGTAAAACATACCTGATATACATTAAAGATATGAGACTTCATATGGTTAAGGCCTGCAGAATAAGCCTAACTTTTAAAACCGTCAAACATCTCATTCATCACTGTAAAACGATGACAAAACATCAGGCTAATAACACATTGTGGGGCTAACAGGCAGTCAGCACAATTTTTAATGTGCTAATGTAATACAACGTTGAGTAATGGTTTTTACACGAATATAGCAAAATATAGATAAATCTGAAACTCTCACATCAACGTGCTTTTACCATCTTAGTTTAATGCATGTGTCACTAAGCGTATTAGACCGCTGTTAAGTCAACAAGCCATTAAATCAACAATGTTTCAATAAACCATTGTCACGAACTACGATCGTCGTAGCATTTAATCAAACTAGAAAACGAACTCTAGAAAATTATTAACAGTTATAGCAGCTCTTACTCTGGCTGTGTAAAATTATCCATAATTATTATTATCATATTTTGTTCTTCTGGAAAAAAAAACTCGTCACGTAACATTTTTGTCCCAGTCCCCAGACCCTTGGGGTAAATCATGCAGGCTAATCTGGCATTTCTGCATAACTTTTATACTGCATACAGTATAAAACAGCAGCATTACAAAATAAACACATACTTTAACAGTTTAAAATAAAACTTAATAGAAAATCGGTACTTACACTTTCCTTGTCATCCGTGTCGTCCATTAGCGCATCCTTGATCCAATCCGACAGTTGGCGCTGTCACAAAAAAAATAGGGTCCTAAAGATGCGGTCCTAAAAATGCGGTCCTGAGAGTGCAGCCACTCCAGTTGTGCAGGATTACCCTACTCCTCCCCTCAGCTGTGGGCTTGAGTAGAGAGTCAGCGCCGCTGAGGGCTGAGGAGGACTCAGGTGTTCAGTTAGTGATCAATACTGCTCCTGCGTGCCCGCTGATCACCACACAACACTACTCCACTGTGAGAAATGACCAAATTCTGTGTTCATACATGAAGAGTTTCGCGCAGAATCATTCATATTCATCATATTTCATATAATATTTCACATAATGTCAATAATCCGCCCTCGAGTCGCATATTAAACGATATTTCTGTCACTTCCGTTTAATTCAGAAATTATCCGAATGTGTAGCTTTATCTACATATTATCTACATTTCTCTGTGTTCATTAACGTTATTAGTTTATGTCTGAATCAGATTATTATCATTATTATTTTATTATTATTATTTTATATTTTATTATTATTATATTTTTACATAGTTTGGTTATTTTATCGATCACTTTTACAATAAAAATGTAAACGAAATGTAAGAAATAAAGCACAGGGCTCAATAATAAGGACTGCCCTATGGCCGGGGCCAGTGTGAGATGTCTGGGACAGTGGACAGGAGGATTATTATGGCCGGATTGGGACAGTGCCGGCGTGTCACTGAAGTTTAATTAGCCCGCGAATATGCGTCAATAGTGTGCATTTTAAGCTTGAGCTTTTATTGTCTTTAAATGCTTCCTTCTCTGTGTTGTCGTAAACACAATATTGCTTTTTGGATCCTCTTATCTGATTTGATGTTTTGAACATGATTTTTTTTAAACCGTGATAACAACCACAACGAAGAGATCATGAACCACATCAGATCATGAGGCTAAAATAAAATGTCTGTTTATAACGGCTTGGAAGCAGAGATTTACATGAGGACACAACGAAAAATTAAGCGATTTATTTATTTATTTATTTGCACAATATGCCAGTCAGCCACGTTTTGTTAAATAATTTCAAACTGCATTAAAATACCTCATTTCCATTCCGCACTTTTTGTTTGCAGCACTGGATTTTGCTCATCATACATTTATTAACATTTTTTAAATATTGAAATTAGATTCACCGATTTATTTTTTACACATTATTTAAAATATGTAGCTAAAAATAACTATACTAACTTTCCTTTTTTGTTGTTGTTGTTGATGGGGCCGGTGATTTTGGCAGGGCAAGTAAAAATCTGAACCATTGGCCCGATCGAACCAGAAAAGATTCTTTAGTGTTGAACCATGAAAGCACACAATAGTCTATTCCCGCAATTTCCCGACACTCCAAAACATTTACAGGTGAAACATGCTGGCGCTTATAAACCTCTCAGATCACTCAGATAATCCAGCAGAAGACCCTGTTATCCGTGTTTTATACAGTGATTATGAGTTATGACTGCGGTATTAATCTGCTGTTTTATGAGCGCATCAGATGATGATTATTTACGCGGAATATTATATAGATTACATGATTAATTTAGGAGACACTTCTGTCTAAAGCGACTCACAAATGAGTATTAAATAAGCGTCAATTACAATTAAATGCATAATTCAGTGAATTAATCAGGATAATAAAATAACGCAAATCAAAATTAATAATAATAAAGTATAAACTCAGTCCGTCTGCTCTCCAATATGCTTTAGCTGAAGAAAGAGCCGATAGATGGAGAGATTTCATCATACAGGTGGAGAATTATTCTCATGTGTCGGCTGTTATTCGGTTGATTATGTTTTAATATTTTAGCGTGTTTAGAGTGTTTAATAAACGCGTCGCGATGCCCTGAACTGCGGGATTAATCGGGCAACGCGAGCGCGCAGCTAAACATTACATTAAAGATAATTATAGAAATATCAGTAATAACCGGCAGATTTTATAAGACTCAAACCCGCACTGACAGATCCTCTCCTGATCAACACATGATGATATGTTAAACAGTCTTATATGGCGCAGAACACCTCAGTGATTATAATGAGGAGATTGAACAAGTTCAACATTTATAACTCAGTCTGAGTGATCTTCCTCCGACAATAATATTATAAATACAATAAATAACCCCGCGCCGTGACCATTTCACCCGGTACAGGAGAATACACAGAGAGCCGACACTGCTGAACACACGCGCTTTATTACAGCACACACACACACACACACACACACACACACACACACACACACACACACACGCACACACACGCCAGCTGCAAAACAATTCAGTATTTACAGAAGACAGTCACGGTACATCTGCTGGGTTATTTTAACCGCTAATGGGTCAAACATGAACACAATAGTAAATAATCGCAGTAGTTGGGCTTAAAATATCATTCAACTTTCATAATAAAATAATGCAGCCTTG